TGACTATGACAGTGGAATTGGTACAAATAATACTACTAAATTAAGTCGTGATAGGTAAACCGATTATATAAAGAAAAAAAAAAATAACACTAGTTCTTCAAATTTTAGTAAATTAAATACAAGTACAATCGATGAAAGTCATTACCAATCACTTGATGAAGAAAGACGACGATATTCCGATGAAGAACAAGGTAACTAGAATATTAAAAAAACGAAAATCTTATGTTTTCTTTTTTTTTTTTTGTATTGTGTAAGAATCAATTTCAAATATATCTTTAACACGTTCGAGTGGTTCAGGTGCCGCAAGTCCCGGAAGTCCTTATAAGTAAGTTTTATATCTTGAAAGTCGTTATACTTGACATATAAGTGTCAACAACAAAAAGTAATATTTAACAAAGTCAATCAGTAAATGAAAGAAAAGAAGAAGAGAAAAAAAAAGAATAAAGAATAGAATTTTTTTCCTATTATTCTTTTGTCCTTCGATTTACATTCACGTAGAATTTACGATTACATTCATACACTTTTTTTTTTTTTTACTTTTTTTAAGTAAATATACAAAAAGATTCAATCGTTCATTACCACTGAAACAACTTAATGAGAATCGTCGTCGAAAACCTAGTGGTCATTCAGGTAAAATGCGCACAATTGAAAATTTTCGGAAGCTTTTAATATTTTTGTACACATGAGTGAATTGAATGTATTGAGTTATTTCGAAAAAATGTCTGTCGAATCCTCAAAAGTAGGTTTTTCAAAAAAATTTAAATTCCATACAATTGTATAAAATGTAAATTTTTTTGAAGGACTTTCTTTTGAAAAATTGAAAGGGTACTTTTTTGAAATAACTTAATACTTTTTATCTAATCATTCATAAAAGAAAACGAAATTTGAGAAAAACTTGAGTTGTTCACACCTTAAAAAAAGCAAGCGATCATTATCTTCATTTCGTTAATCTCGTGTTTTTTTTTTGTCTTTTGAATCAAATAAAGATGTTTATCCATCGGATCTTGAAACACATATAACTGGTTCATTTGATACATTTCCACAATCAACATCAAGTAAAAAAAAATCTCGTCATAATTGGCAACCACAACGAACTAATACTCGTCGTTCACGTTTAACACCATTTCAACGAAGTTTTTCAACTGATAGTATTGATATAGATAATTATAAAACTAGCTTACATCGACCACAAACTGCACCACAATTTTCATCAAAAACAGTACAATATTATAATATGAATACAAAATATCAAAGTGGATTTATTCATCAACCAACAAAATCATCGAAACAATCGGAAACAATGTATAAAAGTTCATGTTATATTGATCAAGCACATACACATCGAAAATCACAAGAAAAACTTAATCAAAATTTAAAACAATATCAAAAACCAATACAAACATTGAATAAACAACAAACAAATAATCTGTATCTGGATCCTCAAACAGGCATTGTATAGTATGTAGATTATTAATCTTCAATAATAATAAAAAATACATTAATTATCATATATTCATAGTCGATATATTCAAGATAAAACTAAACCTTCAACAATAACTTATTATCAACCAACATCTCAGACGAAATCATCTAAAGAATTATATCGATGTGCTGAATGTGGTAGTATTACAACATATCATCATCGGTTTGTATTCTCAATTGATTTAGAAAAACAAAAAGAAAAAATCTTTTCAAAGGATTATAGATTAAATTATTAGTTATTTTTTATTTCTTTTTAAAATGCCGAAAATTTTGGTAAATTTTTATTTTCAATTATTTAGTGTCATTGGATAGAGCACCTTGAGTTACCTATGAAAAAAAGACTACATTCTAAATATCATAATTAGAATTCTCAATTATCATAGATATGTAAATATTTTATTTTATTGTTCACTTTGTAGAACATCATGAGAACTATTTCCTGATTCTGCAGACAAAACCGACCAAAAAACCTAATATATATATAAGGTTTTTTTCGTCGATTTTGTCTGCGCAGAATCAGAAAATATAACCCTTATAATTTTCTACAAAGTGGAAAACAATAAAATATTTACATATCTACGATGTAGTATGATTCTAATTATGATATTTAGAAATTAGCCGTTTTTCAGTGGTAACTCGATGTACTCTATTCAACGATATGAAAATGCATTGAAAACAAAAATTTACTAAAATTTTGAATTTTCGGCACCTTAGTATGATTGAAATATGTTTTGATTGTTTTTTTTCAGTCATCATACCAATTCAACTACGAAAAAAGTTACAATTGATTTAGATGATCCAGGTTATGAAAGTGGAAATCGGTAAGTATAATATCAAATATTCATCTTTTTTATATGTATATTTTTTTTTCTTTTTGATTATTTAAGCAAAGTCAATCGATATCGTCGACATATTGATCGTTTAACATCTTCCGAAAGTGATTCAGATGATGTAAGTCGACTGATTATAACGTATGATTAATGTATTTGTATAAATTTTATTTAAGAATCCAAATTATAATGATATGTCTGTATTAAATGAAGCATATGAACGAGCAAAAAAAGTACAAGAACATTCACAAAATTTATCTAGATATATTAGTCGACAATTAAAACTTGTTTTAGCTACTATTTAAAAAATCAAAATAAATTGGAGAAAGATCTTTATTTTCTCTCTCTCTCTCTTGCTCTTTAAACTTCTTTGCTTCTGTTTATTTCTCATATTATAACTCATCTAATCTCATCGTTATTTTAATAACGATAGATAGCAACTAGATCTTATTCTATGTATTTTTTTTCTCATTTTTATTCATTCTAATTAAAAATAAAATAATACAATACATTAATGATTAAATATTGAAATAACATAATAATATGATATTGTTAAAGATTATTCAATATTTGTAATACTTACACATTTACATCCAATGACAATATGTATAAATAAGTAAATATTTATGTCCTTAAGAATAGATTAAGGTATTAAATGGTTTCTCACATAACAACTTCTACATTTTCAATAATTAAAGATGATGTAATAGACAATTCATATTTATAAATAGTAACCAATGTTCGTTTTGTAAAAAGAAACGAATCGAAGAATATGAAAAACAAGAATAATTATTCATTAGCAGACTTTTTACGTATTCTCTTCCATATCAAATGTTAATCGTGTTTAGAATCTCAATTATGACGACATTAGAGTTCGACAGTCCCAAACAACAATTGGAACCGGAATCATCAAACTCTATATTGAAGTAGTGAAAAATTTATCAACGGTCATTTATTATTAATCACAAGACAATTAAATATAATTAGTTTTTTAATCGTTCCTAATTATAACATAGCTCATATTCAATTGCCTGTCTTGTAAGTTATCAATCAATTGAAGTGATATTTTGCCCATGAGTAATTCTCGACAAGACTAGTAGAAGCCAATAGAGATTCATCTCCATGTGCTATCCTTCCCAAGTTATTATAATTTTTACTGAGTTTCAATTTAAAATTTTTCTTATTAGTAGATCTTGTGGATATTAGATTGTTCTAAAAATTTCAGCGTAAAACGCTGTGTTCTTCTTGAAATATTGAACATTCCAAAGCAATCAGTAGACATATGCGGGACCAAGTTTTGTTGGTCCCGATTCCGCAATGTCTACTCAGGTACAACAGTTATTGCGAAAAAGAACATGATTAGCAAGTTAAAAAAAAATAGATAAAATCATGTTTTTAAATAAAAATTTAATTCATTTAAAAATCAAAGGAAAAAAAGACGATTATCTAAAGATGGATGAAGACATATTTTAGTGTTCATAATGATGAAATAGTTTATATTTTTTATATGGGTGTGTATATGATTGTGATTTATTGATTGATTAAGATTCAATATTTACAGATTATATTTGTATTTATGTTATATTATTTATCATGATGTGTTTTTTCTGTATTACAAGAGATTAACATGACAAGAATAATTTGATTTATGATGTATGAAAATCTTCACTTGAAAAGTCACAAAGTTAAGGATATTATATAATCTCGGATTTCGGTTCTATGCATGTCTAGTCATAAGAAAAAGTAAGAAAGCTCAGTGTTTTCAATAACACACACTTGCAGGCTGAAATTCTCAAAGCATTCTAATGTCTCTACCTATGATCAAAATTTTATGTTAAAATTCCGTCATTCGATATTTTCACCAATATCTTGTCAGAACTTTAAAAAAAGACTAAGTAAAATTGTAATAACTTGATAAGGACAGTACATGGAGACGAACTCTTATAAGCTTTTATTGATCTCGTCAGTGCCTAATTATGGACAAAATATCAGTTCGATAGACGAATTACACTTGAAGGCCTTCCCTTCTCAGCAACTATGCACTGCATTTACACTGACTCCGATAAAATGAATACCTCGATAGTTTCACTACATACTTGTTTTGACTCCATTTACTCAATTTCAATTTTTTTTTGTGTTATCTACATCTTTATAGCTCCAAATCCCTTGGATACGCCACAGGCGCTTTCTTTTGATGCTTAATCATATAATTAAATTTTTATAGTTTCTATTTTAGTCATTTATTTATTCCTTTTTTAAACAGATTTCAGATGTTCTCATCACACTGTCTATTTTATCAGATCAATTCAAAATATTCATTCACACAGCGTCATCTCTATGACGAATAATTACAAGCCTCTATTACGAAGAATTAACAGAAAAATTTATCTGCTAATTTTTCTAAACAAAATAGTTCGCTCAAATATAGTCTGAGTTCAAAAAGAAAATCTTCATGTTGATGCATCAGTGACTCAATCATCCGTACAAAACAAAGCATTAAATTACAGCCTCCTCATTTTACAAAACATCTTGTGCCCTCTACCGCGTATATCAATTTGAACCAATGATTATTATTCGCGTAGTATTCTTTGTTCATTTTAAATTTTAGTTTATTCGTTAAACAATTTCAGTTAGTTCAAGCTATATTCATCTTCAAGTAACTTACTCTTGCCATTACTTTTTTCAAAAATGCCAAAACGTCATCTTACGGTTCAAAATAAAGATAACGAACATGAACAACAATCATCATCTATTCTAACACGTTTATCATCAAAACGTGCTAATACAAATGAATCAATTACAAATAAAAAACCGAAAATTGAAGAAAAACATATTGATAAAGAAAATATACCAAAACGTCAAACACGTCAAAGTACGAAATCAAAAGAACGAGAACCTTCACCATTACCATCACCACCAACACCACCAATTGAAATTATCGAACCAATATCTGATAAACCTGTAAATCCTCCTCCTCCTCCTCCTCCTGAAGATACTGATGATGAATTTGATAATGATGAAGATGAACATTTAACTTTACCAATCGATGATAATGATCAAGGTAAAGATTATCCAACAAATAAAGAATATCTTATTTATGAAAATGCACGTCCTAATAAACAACCATTAATTATATCGAAAACAGCACGTTATTGGACAAATAAATATCGTAAAGTTCTTCGTCATGTTAATCCTGATGCATATGGAATGTATATTCATGCTGATTTTAGTTGTTATGGTGAACTCGAAGTTATTGAAAATTGTTTACTTGATTTAACTAAAACAATATTTATTGTACAACAAGGTATTTTCAATTATCAACGTAAACCAATTGATAAAGTTAATTATGTTCTTGGTTTTCGACGTCTTGAAACATTAACAATATTACTTGATTATACTGATGGTATAAGTGGTATTGATGATGGTGATCGTTTTTATGCTATAATGCGTGTTATTGGTTCTTGTTATATAACAATTCTTCGTGGTTTATTGCCAGATATAATGTTTAAAAAAATTGAAACAATTGATGAAAATTTAATTAAAAAATTAAATAAAATATCAAAACAAATACCTAATTTTAAATATGTTTTAGAACAAGCTCTTATTATTGGTCATATGTTTTTAACTATTGCTGATGTTTGTAGTGCATATACAAATATTCTTCAAGTATGGTTTTTTGTTTTTGAAATGATTTAATCCAAAAAAAGAAATTTAATTATTTTTTATTATTATTTTAGATTGTTTATTGTAATTGGGTTTTAATTATGGATAAAATTTCAATTGATTTAAATCAAAAATCAATTGATAAACTTATGAAAGCATTAAAACATGCATCTGAAATTGATAGAAATAATCTTGAATATGGTGATAAAGAATCATTTGATTTTTTAAAAGAATTACGTTCATATAAAGAAGATTATGGTCTTGGAGGTGATGCACATGATATTAGTAAATGGACACGAAGTGAACGTGCAGCTTATTCATATCAACATTTTAATCCTTTTGAAAACTTGTTTTTTTAGAATTATATTTAATCATGTTTTGTTTGTTCATGTTAATATGGCATAATACTTTTTATTTTTTTTTGTATAAACATGTATATAGATTCAAGATATGATTAATGTTCGTTTCTATTTTCTATTTCGAAAAAAAAAAACCAATATGAAGTTATTCAAACTATGAAAGTGTTTTTTTTTATGTAATCAATTCAATCCGATTAGATTGTTTTTTTTTCTTCTTTGTTTTATTGCATTTATGCATAGTATATTCGACTGTGTGTATCCATATATTAGAATACATTAGATATCTAAAGTAGTTTGAAATATTTTTCACTTTGAAGAGTTTTTTACCAAAAAAACGAAAGTACTCATGGTGACGATCAACAAACCAGTTTTCTTCCTTTCGTTAGCAGACATGTTAAAAGATTAGAGTGTTTGAATGTGGGCAAGAAGCTACGTAAAAATGAAGTATGTAAAGATATACTGATTAGCAAGGTCATCAGTTTCATTATTTATTTTGTCCAGAACAAAGAAAAAACTATTATAATGCGTTAGAATTTTTTTGTTAATATTTATCCTTTGTTTTTTTCTTTAAACCACTTCTCTAACATAGTATCCTTTTTTTTTGTTACTCGTAAGCAAGTTAAATCATTATTTGCATCAATGTAATAAAATGCAATATCTTTTGTCGAAGAGAGAGACTCTGATAAAACTTGTTTTTTTCATCTTAAATTACATATTTATTGTTAAACATAAATTTTATTATGTGTTTGTGAATAAGCCATATAACGTAGTGTAGATTCTTTTTTTTTCTTGTGCATAAAAGTTATTGATATCAATTTGCACGTATGAATCTTAGTTATCTCAAATTTCATATTGTCAATCAATTATTATTGTCACATACAGACAAATATTGTTTTTTTCGTTCGAGCAAGTATATTGTACACACATTAGTTATTCATTGTTCTTTTTATACACAATATTATAATGAATTGCACAAAGAAAAGAAACAATAACAACCCATATATATATAAGTAGACATACAAAAAAAAATACGGTTGTTACAAACGAATTCTTTCTTTGTGCGTCTTCTCAGCTGCTGCTGCTGCTACTATTACTACTACTACTACCATTATTATTTCTTGCAAGAAGATGGTTTATTACATAAGACTGACTGTCTACTTGTTACATATTATCCACATGTCTGATTATATTCTTCTTAAATTTTAGATAACACATCTTTTGTCATTGACAACATCGTCTAATCCATTTAAATAGAAAGATTTTTTTGTGTGTGCGACTGGTGAGTGGAAAAAACTCAACGAAAAAAAAAACGAAGGTAAAAAAATTTTTAAATGTCTGCGCCATGTTACTGTTATGTTTATTAATAGACGTGATTTTTCCCTGAAGAAGAAGAAGAACTTTATCTCATCTTCTTTTTCTCTGTGTTTACTTTGGCTTATGTGGTTAAGATTATAAGCAAAAACAATAACAACCATTGAAATATCATTGTGAGTTTCTAATTTTTACATTAAGAACACAACAAGAAGGACTACTTGCTGGTGTAAGATTTGAAATTCTTGTTAAAAAAGAAAATCGGTATGTATTAAATTTATTGATGTAGTTCATTAAAGAGACTTTAAAATAGAAACAGAAAGAGAATACGAAATGGAACAATATGTGTAAATAATTTAAACCAAATGTATTTTGATATTGTTGATTGATCTTTTCTTAGGTGAACTCATCACCATTATTCAATATATATATATATATATTTTTTTTTTTTTGTTTTTTATTAAATTTTATTTATCTGTCTTTTCTTTCCTGACACCCTTATATTAACAATATGAATTGGTCGATAGAACAGTAAAAGTTAAAGCAAATCTCAAATTACTTTAAGTGTTCAGATGATACCAATCCAATATCCATATTCGTTTATGATGGTAGCTCTATCTGCTATAAAATAGTGCTAGTCATATAGATAGATACATACATTCAGCGTTAATATCTTTCTTTTTCTCTCTTGATTTATTAAAGCAATCAAAATATATATTCTTCTCATGAACAATAGCTTATCTCAATAATTTATAAGTCAACGATTTTTCTCATTTAGAATAAACATCTGTTTTTATGAATCTACAACATACTTTTTGTTCGCTCTTTTTTATTTTGTGTCAATTGATACAAAACATAAATGCTCTTTTACTTAAGCTTTTATCTATTTTTATCCATTTATGTTTCTTACGTTTTCTTCGTTTATTCTTTTGTTTTTATTCATATATCTGCTTGAATTAAGTTAAAAACCGAGTGATTGATGACGCTATCAAATAGAATATAAGACTGAAATATAACAACTTTGATGAATGATGATTGTTCACACATTTATACAAAGACTAAAGCTATAATCAAAAGAGCATATAAACTTATTCTCAGTAATAAGAAGGATAAGGGTGTGCACTTATATTATCAAAAGGAGAATAAGAAAGATCAGTCAAATAGTAATCCGATGTTGAGTTATAATGATGATTTTTACCACAAAATTCTTTTTTTATTCTTTTCTGTTCTTCTTTTTTCTGTCGTGATTTTATTATGGAGAGTCCTCGATTTCATATACATCAATCGAAATTGACTTGACCAGAAGCATTTGTATTCACTCGAATGGAAGAATCTTTATATGTGATTAATCAGGTAGAAAAAACAAATGCTTGTGTTTGCTACCTGAACTAGAACAACAACTTTTTTCGACTAAATACAAGCGAAGTGGTGTAACACATAGATAAACATATTGCTTCGTCACACAATCGTTGCATTCACCTGTAGGTATGCTCTTATTTTCAAGTAGTAAGAGAGCAAAAAAAAAAGGAGACCCTTTGCGTAGTTGAGCTGCTTAGCAGCACAATATAAGAAAGAAAGAGAGGGAGATGGAGAGAGAGAGAGGGAGAAAGAGAAAGAAAGAGAGAGAAGAGAAAAAAAACAGACACAACTAGTAACAATCAATGTCTTGAGGGTCACCCATCAGTTAGTTAGTTAAGATAGACTGACAAGATGCATATGTCAATATATGTTAAAGTGAATGGAAATAGTGAAGAATCCTTCAAATATTAAGTTTTTTATGTTATTAATGTGTATTGAAGGTCAATTCTTTTTCCCTAGAAAATCACTACTACATTGCACTTGTCTTCTCATACTCCTACACATGACAAGATTTATTCTCGAAACTATTTTACTAGTTGCTTACATATCTTTGTTTTCTTTTCTTGTCCTTTTCTTTTTTTCTTTTTTTTTTATTATCACAACTATCTCGTTTTTTTTTATTGTGCTTGAAGAATAATCTCTACTATACGAAGAGAAAAAAAAAAGGTAATATTTAAAAAGAACATTCGTAATTCATTATTGATTATTTATTCGTTTTTAAGTTATACAGTTAATCAGATGTATTAGTACTATAGAAGAGAAACTAATTTTTTTTGTTAAGAAATGAATCTAGAGTTTATCATGCAGTGTTTTATTCAGATTTTCTCTTCCGGTAAGGCTACTTAAAACTCCAGAAGATGAACATCTATTTTTGAAAGTTCGAATGAATGCTGTCCTCATACTGGATAAAACACTGCTATTGCGAGAACATAGAATTTCATGTAAATTTTTTTTTTTATATGAGGATGCTACTAATACCTTTTTTTAAAGAAGTATATTCAATTGTTAGTGTAGATTCAATGAAATTAAGGTAAATATGTTCTATCTTATTTATAAACAAATTTTTGTATCTATTCTCATACGTTAATATTTGTACAAGTAATCTTCATAGTGAACATATTGTTTGTACTTTCTTTTCATACCTAGAAATAAAGTTCTAGATGTTTATTTTTGAAGAAAAAAAAACGTCTTAGTCAAAATAATAATTTTTTTTTTCCCCCGTTAAATTCAAACTTTTTTCGATTCATCTTGATAAAATTCTATTTAATGTATTCTTCTTCTTAGTAAACAATCTATAAAAACATTATAATTGATTATTCCATTACACGAATCATATTTATAGATAATCTCAAGTGTTAATAGTAAACGAGCTTAAGGGCATTATATTATACTAAATACATATGGTGAATTGTATCAAATTCTGTTGATATTATTTTATCATCAAAATATGAAATGAACCATATGCATTCAATATAATATAAACTTAATGAATTTTTAAAATAAAAATAAAAGTAACTAATGAAGTTCTTTTTCTTTTCTGTTAGACGATATTTATGAATAATTTCTAACCACACTACCGCAAACAAGAAGAAGTTATCAACTATCGTGTGTCCTTATATCATACCTTCTCTCTCTCCTTCTCTGGAAAGTTTGTCATGTTTCTCTCTTTTTTTTTTCTCTTCGTATTAACTAATAGAACAAATATAATATAATATTTTTGTTGTCCCCATCATTTGAGCCATAAATGAACATACATGGGAGAAAGGCGAGGGAAAACGAATTACATGTGTAAATATGTAAATAGTATAAACTACATAGATACAAAATCGAAGTCCCCATAAAATACATATAACTGTTACAACGACAACAACACTATACATAACAGTGTTGATTACGCATGTGTATGTTATTAATTATTCGCTTATTCTCATCTTTATACATATAGAAATGAATAAAGCCTTAATTGTTAACCATTACAAATACCGCTAGTACGCGTACCTTTTACCTATTTTTTTTTCTTTCTCTCTTTCTTCCATTTCGTCCTTCTTCATCATCTTCTCTTCTTCGTGCTCTTTTTGTGTGTGCTCTTCGCTCGTTGTGGTGATCGTCATATCAACGAGAGAGAGAGAGAGAGAGAGAGAGAAAGCGGTAAAGAGAAAGGAATGTTGAAGAGAAGAATACAGTTAGGTGGATGACGACCCAAAGAAGAGAAGGAAGGAAAGACATGTCGGCTGATTATTCATGCTTTGCACTCTCTCCCACTTCTTTTTATTTAAATAAAGCTTTGTATGCGAACGAAACGGGCATGCGAACACATGAATACACTGAGT